TGGGGAGTGGTTGGATGGGGCGTGGGAGTCCCAGGGGTCTGTCTGGGGGTGGGGGTGTGGATAAGGGTTGGGGCAGTCAGGGTACAGGTAGGGGGTAGAGTCCTAGGGGGCCAGTTAGGATGAGGGGAGGGTCTCAGGAGGGGGCAGTCAGGGGACAAGAGGCAGGGAGGCTTAGGTAGGGGGTGGAGTCCTGGGGGGCAGTCAGGGGCAGGGGTCCCAGGAGGGGGCAGTCAGGGGACAAGGAGCGGGGGGAGGGTTGGGGGTTCTGAGGGGGGGAAGTGGGAGGGGCAGGGGCGGGGCCATGGCAGGATGGGGCGGGGCTAGGGCAGAACAGGGGCGGGGCTCCTCCCGTCCTCTTTTTTGCTTGCTGGATTATGGTAACCCTAGTACTTGTGGCACCTTACTCCTGTTCTTTTTGCGGATACAGACTAACACGGCTGCTACTCTGAAACCTGTCATAGCTGAAGCTATATCATACTAGCAACTTTATAAGTAATGACTGAAACATACATACTCAGTTCTGATGATGCTACTAATTAGTCTTTAGAAATCTCAGCCGGTTAACCAAGCTGATTCGAGTCCCAGAGAACTAGGCAGATCTTATATCCAGCTACTGAACAGCAGGCAACATTGATTTGGAATATTTGAGTGAACTTCCCTGGGCGAGAGGCGAGAGAGAAGGCATGGGGGGACAGGGGGGGCAGTCTCTGTAGCAAGTGCTCTTGCCTCTGGAATTCTCTTCCACTAGAAATATGCGTACTAGCTGGGCCACATTCAAGAAGTGCTTCAGTTTCTAACTCTAAATTCCGGAGCCCTTAGCATACAGAGATGGCTTTCTCATTCCTCTCTGTAAGTTTGTAGTGCCAGATTTTTTGACTGGTGTAAATCAGCATTTTTGAAAAAAACAGGAAAAAAAGCTTGGTTAGTTTTGAACCAAAACTGAATTAGGTAGTTTTTTCTCATTGTAATGAAAAACAGAAAATTTTGTTCAAGTCAAATAAAATGTTTTGAATGTCAGTTTGAAATGACATCTTTTAAAATTTTTGTTTTCAGGGAGGGTTTTTAGCAGAAATTACTTGCCAAATTTGACCTGAACTCTTAAATAGTTTTGGTGCCCCGAAAAAGTCATTTTGGGGTGGATTTATCATTTGCAGAGCCAGGCTACATGGAAGACAATGGAGCTAGGCTGATTTGCACTTGCTGAAAATCTGGCCCATAGTGTTATGGAGGACTGGGAGTTTCCCTGTTCTTGGCGAAATATTGCTTGTCATCTCAACCATGTCTAGTATGCTTCGAGAGTACACTGATGGCACTGATATAGCAACAAATTGGCTTCAGGTTCTGTCTTACAAATTTTCCTAGCTTTGCCTCCAGTCATGTGGGCAAAGTGTTTACCTGCTCAGTTATTGAACTTCATTAATTATTGCCAATCCAGGAAGGTCCTTTTGATGACCCTTAATTTACTTACATAAATACTTTCCTTGGTGCTGATTTAATTGTAAATAAACTCAGAGTTTAACTATAGACTGCCTAGCCTCTCAGCTGGGCATCTGGTCACAGTATTGTGTTGCCCCTTCCATGGCCTATAATCAAAATATAATTTTGAAATAATCCTAAAATTTTGTACTGGAGTTAGAATAATTTTTATTCTCTCTAAGGAAAGCAACATAATGCAACTCTTAATTTATAATTGCTTAAATCATTAACATGCGTTTACTTTTTTTATTTTGGTTCCCAGTTGCAGGAGCTAGAGTTGTCCCTCTTCATCCCCTCCTGCCCTCCCCACCCCCTGCTGCTCACTGTTTTCTTAAACAGTCCACTTTTTGTTTCTTCATTTGATGTACTGTAAAGTCAGAGACTGCTCTACATGAAAGCCTATTCAAAAACTGGCCTCAATGTTTTATACTTACACTATTGTCTAATTGAAAAACTCATTTGTATACTCAGCTATAATGGTGTTTAGTACAGAGCATGCATTTAAAGAGCAATTTATTATAGGACTAGCTGAAGTACAAATTTGTTGACTAAGTCATTTGGATCCCTGTGGTGCTGTGTGCAGTACCATGTCGCTTTAATTTGTGCAATTTAGCAAAGTTTCTGTAGAATTACACTAATCCTTTTCTTTCAGCTTACCATACTATAGCTCCCTTATGGAGTGAAATATAACTTAGAAAATCACAATTTCATCATTCAAAGGAAGAAATTGAGAAGTTTTCAGTTTATTCTTTAAATGGTGGCTTAGTAACCCTGGTTCTGCTCTACAGAATTCCTCTTTAAATGGGAATCAGATGATTCTTGAGTTTCTTGGTATGTGTGGGGTTATTTCTTTGCTTGTGGGAGACTTCACAAGGTCATAATTTAAAAACATAATTGTAAATCCTGCTTATTTGTAGGGCACTGGCTGACATGAACAACGATGGGAGGATGGACCAGATGGAGTTTTCTATTGCTATGAAACTTATCAAACTAAAACTACAAGGTTATCAGCTCCCCTCTGCACTCCCTTCTGCCATGAAGCAGCCTCCCATTGCTATTCCTGGTGCACCAGGGTTTGGTAAGAGCAGAATTTGTTTCTAGTTTTGTGGTATGATAACCTCTATAAAAGTTTTGTTTGGGGTGTTTATATTTTGATTTATTTCAATTTCTAAAATTGGAAAAGATACTATACAATCAAAACGATATATAGTTTAAAAACAGCCTAATGAGCCTGGCTCCTTAGCATCCAGGCATAATCAATAACAAGTCAGTTTTTCCTACTCCATTTCACACCTTGCTCCTCTCCCTCTGTACTCTCACCAAATATTAGGAAAAGCAGATGGGCCTTGCACCATACTGTGAAGATCAACAGAGCTGGGCTGTTTCAGACCAAGGGGAATGAATGAATTCCGAAGTTGGGGGCCCTCAATGAGACCACCTTGCTGGCAGTTTTCTTAGGTCTTCATTAATGGGTTCCAGCTCTAATACCTCTGCCACAGTTACGATCAGCGATCTTGATTTAATTTAACCAGAATAGTGTGGGAGCAGTCCACACCTGTTGGCCTATGCAAAGAGTGGCATTAATAATAGCCAGATTGGCTACTGCTTCTCTTGTTCTTGTAACAGGTATTGCTGAAGTGGTCATGACACCAAAGAGAGGATTGCGTAATGCAGGATTGAAATAAATGGGTGGGTCAAAGCCTGGGACCTCATGCTTAACATGTTGAGTTTCTTCTGCATTCTGGTGTTGAGAACCACTTTACATGTAACCTTTAGTTTGCAACATCTCATCATCAGATGCCTGGTAATTGTGATCACCATAAAGAGTGAATTAAATAAATAATGTACAGAAGCTCCGTTCCGTTTCGAAATGCCTTGCATAAGTCGAGTTTTGCGTAAGTCGGGAATGTATCTCCGACAATTATGCCAAAAAAAACCACCAAAGGGCACTTACGGAACTTTTTCCGTAAGTCAGGTTTGCGCAACCTGGGGAGCATCTGTTTTTGGTAAGTGTTGCAACTAAACTCTCACCCTTTAAAGCCTGTATATCTGCTAATTAGTTATTTCCCCCCTCCCCCCTCACCAAACTTTTGCTGTTTGGTTTCTAAGTGAAGTTCAAAAGAACAAATATTGTACTTTAGGAAGAAAAAGCATAATAAAGATTGAAATTTAACTTATTATGAAGCAAGAAATCCAGCAAATAATTAGATTTTTCTTCTCCTAGCCCCACTGTAGACATGCTCCCAGCTGTGTGCACGTAGCCTCACCTCTTTCCCCAGTGGAATCACTGAATCTCCTTGACCTTCACTTGTCATCTGTGCAGCTGTGCTCATACCTAAAATCTCTTATTACTGTGCTTTACCCTATTATCTTTGCATTGTTTTGTTTTGGCAGTAGGCTGCGAACAGTTCTCCTGAAACTCATTCTTTTTGGACGGTGGCTAAATGTAGATTTTCGGTTCTCTACCCACCAGTGTTTGACAGTACTGCTCTTCATCTAGCACACAGTGAACAATTTTCTATAGCTAATTCTTATATTTCTTTGGTTAGCACTGCAGTCACATAATCCTATTGTGATGGGTTGGATCACAGAAACCCCACTGTGTGCCAAGACTACTTCTATCCCTGTTTTCACTGCCAGCTCAGGACTCCAGCACCCTGTCTTGCTGAGCCAGACACTCCCGTCTGCTCCAACACAGACCCAGGGTCTGAATTACTTGCCCCAAAGCTGCAGGTTTACCTGAAAACAGCTCACAGAAGTGTGCTTGTCTTTAGCACTCAGATGCCCAACTCCCAATGGGGTCTAAACCCAGATAAATCCGTTTTACCCTGTATAAAGCTTATGCAGGGTAAACTCATAAATTGTTCGCCCTCTATAACACTAATGGAGAGATGTGCACAGTCGTTTGCTCCCCCGGGTATTAATACATACTCTGAGTTAATTAATGAGTAAAAAGTGATTTTATTAAATACAGAAAGTAGGATTCAAGTGGTTCCAAGTAGTAACAGACAGAACAAAGTAAGTTACCAAGCAAAATAAAATAAAATGCGCAAATCTATGTCTAATCAAACTAAATACAGATAATCTCACCCTTAAAGATGCTTCAGAAAGTTTTTTCCTCAGACTGGACACCTTCCAGGCCTGGACACAATTCTTTCCCCTGGTACAGCTCTTGTTCCAACTTAGGTGGTAACTAGGGGATTCTTCATGATGGCTCCTCTCTCTCCCTTTGTTCTGTACCCCCCCTTTTATATATCTTTTGCTTAAGGCAGGAACCCTTTGTCCCGCTGGGTTTCCACCCCCCCTCACTGGAAAAGCACCAGGTTAAAGATGGATTCCAGTTCAGATGACATGATCACATGTCACTGTAAGACTTCATTACCCACTTGCCAGCACACACGCATACAGGAAGACTCACAGGTAAAACACCGCCATCTGCAGACAATGGTCCTGGTTAATGGGAGTCATCAAGATTCCAAACCACTATTAATGGCCCACACTTTGCATAATTACAATTGGCCCTCAGAGTCATATTTTATATTTCTAGTTTTAGATACAAGAGCGGTACATTTATACAAGTAGGATGATCACATCCAGTAGATTATAAGCTTTGTAATGATACCTTACAAGAGACCTTTTGCATGAAGCATATCCCAGTTACATTATATTCACTTATCATATTTTTATAAAACCATATAGACTGCAACGTCACACCTATAATATACATACACTATGAAATATTATGCCCTGCTCCCTAAACCATTTCATGTTGCCGTCACTATCTGAGAGCTTGGTAACCCTGGGATTTTTTAGAGTCTTTATCTTCACCTCAGCCTGCTGTCTAATTCTAGGTTTATTGTTGTATAACTCTGCAGTCTGCAAACTCCTTAAATTATTTTCTGATACAAATGATTCTAAATTAGAAAAATGTCTACTTTTTCTTGTATGCAGGTATTGGGGGCATTGTCAGCATGCCATCTCTTACAGCTGTAGCCCCAGTACCAATGGCGTCCATTCCAGTAGTAGGAATGTCTCCACCTTTAGTATCCTCTGTTCATACAGCAGCAGTGCCTCCCCTGGCTAATGGAGCTCCTGCTGTTATACAACCTCTGCCTGCTTTTGCTCATCCTGGTATGCTGCATACTGACACTATATATTTACTTTTTTTCTGTTAACAAATTGTTGAGCAATTTTCTTTGTATCCAAAAAGCGAGAATATGGTATTAGTAACTTATTATTTTAAATAATTGCTTTATTTGGGGAATACACTTAAATTGGGTTAATTCAAATAGGATTAAAAAAAGTTTTAAACCTCAAACAAAAAACTTAAACCTTCAGTAGAAGAAATCTAGATTTATTAAATTTTAAAACTACTTAGATTTTTCGGATATTTCTATACACAAACCAACAATCACCATGAACGAAATGTTAGCACTCTAGTAAAAGTACAATAAAATTAGCTTGCCCATCATCCAGAATTGATACCTACACATTGGTACTCCTTACCGATTTGTAGCCATTTAAGATAATACTGTTCTTTGGATTATTTTCAAAGTACCAGAATATACAGTATGCCCATTTTTATTTTATAAAGTAAGCTGCTCTTTAATGTATCAACCAGATTCTATATAAAGAATGCAAATTCAGGAAGTTATGAAGGTGATGTGTGTTCTATTTTTTGAGGGGCAGAGGAGAGGTTACTAATTTATTTTTGTATTGGGAACATTGCCTAAAAAAACCCCAAACTGATTTTAAAATCATAATACTTGTTTTGTGGGGTTAGCAGTTAGTTGTCTATCATTGTGAATTGTACAGATATGTTTCAAATTTACTTTTCAGGATTAACATTATTCTTACTATTACAGCCACATTGCCAAAGAGTTCTTCGTTTAGTAGATCTGGACCTGGGTCACAGTTAAACGCTAAACTGCAAAAGGCACAATCATTTGATGTGGCTAGGTAAGTAAGTGTAGAGTGTCTGTGCATGTGTGAAATATGCTGTAGCAGGCAGTACTGCCTTAGACTCTAATAGATTAATACCATTCTTCATTAAACTTAACTTCTGTAATTAAGAAAATCAAGTCTTGTCAAGTTATTACTTCAGAGGTTTAATAGAATATCTTCTTTAAATTTGAAATACCAGATTAGTTACAAACCATTGAAATAGAGCATTTAACTGTTTTTTTTAAAAGTTTCAAGTCACATTACAACATGAGGCTTTTGAGTGTGTACAGAAAAGTCTGCTTCGTTTCATATCACAAGGCCCCTCCTTTTGTGCTGCAGAAAGATAACACATTTTTTCTTAGAAAATAGAGAAGTAGTTTCAGAATTAAAATATTAAAATGTGGGAACTGTGGGAGTGCTGTCCAGAGACTAACTCTTTCTTGTAAGTTTTTCCTTATATTTAAGCATTTATTAAGACTGGTCCAAGGAGACATAAAATATTGACTTAGAGAACTTTGATGGGGGAGGGGAGTTAATAGTTGCAGTATAGTGTTGAGGACTAAACAGTTGCTCAAATTCCTGTGGATTTCAGGGAAGAAAATAATTGCTTCTTCACATGCCATTTTTAAGTGTTTTAAATTTTGTTTGGCTTTTAATCTTAGCTCTCCAGGTAAATTGTCCTCGGAAATTTCTTTTGTGTCACAGTATGAGATGCTAAATGTCACTATTACTTGTCTGTAAATGAGATTAAAAATGCCTTGCAACTCAAACCTTTGTTTGTCTCAGAGTATTGTTGGGAGCACAGTGGAAGCAGTATGCTCTAATCCCCACACGGGGAGGGGAGTGTACCCCTTCCACCAGTGTGAAGTAATAGTGATTAGCTCCATAGGGACTGACATCTAGGACTCCTTAGGTAAAAGAACTGGATATTCCTTAAGACAGCTATCACAGTTATAAGGCAAACTTCACCTCTGACTCTCTGGTCTTCTAGAGCTGGGTGAGTTACGGTTTTCCTTTCCTGTAAAACCTTTGAGATTTCAAAAATTTTCCTGTTACATATTGGGATGAACCTGAGACCTTTTGAAGTTTTGAGGTGGAGGAGAATAGGAGAGTGGGCAGACTATTCAGGGATCGAATTCTCTAAATATCTCCTGTTGGAGCTATTCCACTGTGTATGAAAAGTATTCACTGGGCCAGAGAGACGCTAACTTTATAGTCCAGCGAATAGTGTAGTCACTTGGGATGTGGGAGACCCAGGCTAAAGTCCGTGCTCTGAGTCAGACAGAATGCCCTAACCGTCATGCTATTAGCTATTCTGTGGTGATTAGAGTCTCTCATTTTGATCAGAAATTCCATCATTTAAACAGGTATGGTCCCACAAAGTTTTGGTTTTGATGAATTGGCATTTTCTGATGAGAACATTTTTAGTAGGGCTGTCAATTAATTGCAGTTAATTTGTTTTGAATTAATTTGAGTTAACTCAATTAAAAAATTAATTGTGATCGCAGTTTTAATCACACCGTTAAAGACTACCAATTTAAATTTATTTTAAATATTTTGGATGTTTTTCTACATTTTCAAATATACTGATTTCAATTACAACACAATACAAAGTGTACAGTGTTCACTTTATATTATATTTATTTGCACTGTAAAATAAGATAAACAAAAGAAATAGTATTTTTCAATTCACTTTATACAAGTACTGTAGTGCAGTCTCTTTATCATGAAAGTGCAATTTACAAATGTAGATTTTTTTTTTCGTTACATTGTTTTGGTTTTGAGTGCAGTTATGTAAAACTTTAGCACCTACAAGTCCATACTGCTGATTACTGGTTCTGCTCGATAACGATTCAAAGCAGTGCAGACTGATGCATGTTCATTTTTCATCATCTAAGTCAGATGCCACCAGGTTGATTTTCTTTTTTGGTGGTTCAGGTTCTGTAGTTTTCTGAATCAGTGTGTTGCTCTTTTAAGACTTCTGACAACATGTTCCACGCCTTGTCCCTCTCAGATTTTAGAAGGCACTTCAGATTTCTGAAACCTTGGGTCAAGTGTTATAGCTCTCTTTAGAAATCTTATATTGGTACTTTCTTTGCATTTTGTCAAATCTGCAATGAAAGTGTTCTTATATTGAACATATGCTGAGTCGTCGTCCAAGACTGCCATAACACGAAATATATGGCAGAATGCAGATAAAACCACGGAGCAGGAGACATAATTCTCCCCCAAGGAGTTCAGTCACAAATTTAATTAACACATTATTTTTTTAATGATAGCCATCAGTATGGAAGCATGTCCTCTGGAATGGTGGTCAAAGCATGAAGGGACATACGAATGTTTAGCATATAAACATGGCATGTAAACCCATGCAATGACAGCTGCAAAAGTGCCATGCGAATGCATGTTCTCACTTTCAGGTGACATTGTTTACATTTATGGGAGATAATGCTGCCTGCTTCTTATTTACAAACTTGTTTCTCTTAGCAATTGGCTGAACAAGAAGTAGGACTGAGTGGACTTGTAGGCTCTAAAGTTTTACATTGTTTTATTTTTGAAAGCAGTTTTAAAAAAATCTACATTTGTAAGGTGTAAATATTTGTAAACAAAAATAGTATAAAGTGACTACTGTATACTTTGTATTCCATGTTGTAGTTGAAATCAATATATTTGAAAATGTAGAAAAGATCCAAAAATATTTAAATAAAATGGTATTCTATTATTGTTTAACAGTGCAATTAAAACTGCAATTAATTATGATTAAAAAAAATTAATCGTTTGACAGCCCTAATTTTTAAGAGTTCTAGCACGAGCCCCACTACCCTGAATCTGTTGACCTGTGCTGCAGTTCTTGTTCCCACCATGGGCTCCAAAATGCAGTGTAGACATACCTTCTCAGACTTGAGCTCTGGGCTGCTGTTCCCTGTGATCAGTCATGATTATCTCAGCAGGCCTGACTTCTCTTCAGTGCCTGCAGTTCTGTTCCCTCTGGGAACAGTGACAGTGCTTTAAGAAGGCTCTCTATCCACTGGTTACCAAAGTATTACTTACTTAGAACCAAAATGTTTTAGAGAACAGATCTTAAAACAATAAACTAATCTCTACACATCGCTGCGTCTCTAAAGCTTAACATTGCAGGTAGCAGGAAAGGTCCGTTTTCTTCAGACTCCCTCCATAGATCTGTTCTCTGTGTCAGCCTGTCCCCCCTTGACACCTCTTCACAGTTGACACCTCCTCCATTCCTTTCTTTTTGACTGTTCAGTGTTTGTTTGGAGGATACTTGTCTAGATCCATTGTGACAGGTTTCAGAGTGGTAGCCGTGTTAGTCTGTATCAGCAAAAAGAATGAGGAGTATTTGTGGCACCTTAGAGACTAACAAATTTATTTGAGCATAAGCTTTCGTGGGCTAAAACCCACTTCATCAGATGCATGCAGTGGAAAATACAGTAGGAAGACACCCACCCACTCACCCACCCACCCACTCACCCACCATGAAAAAATAGGGGTTGCCATACCAATTCTAACGAGACTAATCAATTAAGGTGGGCTATTATCAGCAGGAAGAAAAAACTTTTGTAGGACTGTAAGTTTACAGACAGCCCCCCAACCTGAAGCAAATACCAGCAACCACACAACAAAAACACTAACCCAGGAACCTATCCTTGCAACAAAGCCCGTTGCCAACTCTGTCCTATTCAAGGTACACCATCATAGGACCTAATCACATCAGCCACATCATCGGGGCTCGTTCACCTGCACATCTACCAATGTGATATATGCCATCATGCGCCAGCAATGCCCCTCTGCCATGTACATTGGCCAAACCGGACAGTCTCTACGCAAAAGAATAAATGGACACAAATCAGACGTCAAGAATTATAACATTCAAAAACCAGTCGGAGAACACTTCAACCTCCCTGGACACTCAATTACAGACCTAAAAGTCGCAATTTTTCAACAAAAAAACTTCAAAAACAGACTCCAATGAGAAACTGTAGAACTGGAATTAATTTTCAAACTGGACACCATTAAATTATGCTTGAATAAAGACTGGGAGTGGATGGGTCATTACACAAACTAAAAACTATTTCCCCATGTTAATTCCTCCCCTACTGTTACTCACACCTTCTTGTCAGCTGTTTGAAATGGGCCATCCTGATTATCACTACAAATGTTTTTTTTTTCTCCTGCTGATAATAGCCCACCTTAATTGATTAGTCTCGTTAGAATTGGTATGGCAACCTCCATTTTTTCATGGGTGTGTGTGTGTATTTATATAATATTCCTACTGTATTTTCCACTCCATGCATCTGATGAAGTGGGTTTTAGCCCACGAAAGCTTATGCCCAAATAAATGTGTTAGTCTCTAAGGTGCCACAAGTACTCCTTGTTCTTTTTGTAGATCCATTGTGTTGCTTTCCAGCTTGTTTTTCCCAGAGCCCCTTATTAAGTTACATCAATACAGGAAAGTCTTATAACTTACTTCACTGACCAGTTCGCATACAGTGTTCATAAAATTATTATATCTTAGTATTCTTAGATTATTACATAGCAGCTCCATATCTGTCACCACAGTCATCCAATACTGGGGAATAAACAGGAAGAGATTGCGGGGGACAAATGCACACAAATATGGTGGCTTTTCAGCGATCAATATTTTAAAAATCTTTTAAATTCACCTTTCATCACTTAAATTTAGACATTAATATGTTGTGTTCTAGTGCAAAATGTAGATGTATTTTTTTAAGATTAAAAGGAGCTTACTAGTTTAATAACTTCAATTTAAAATAAATATATAGTTTGAGGAGGGGGAGGGGGATAAGGGATGCAGACTGGCTCAGGCAATGTTAGAATGGAAAATAAGAATCACTACCAGTTTAGTGGTTTCAGTTCTTCTCAGGTCAGTAGGGAAAGTAGTTTCTATGCAATCTGTTCAGTGGCCTATGTGAAAGAAATTGGATTGTCTCAGTCCAATTCTTACTGTGTCCTAGTGTCCTGGCATGTTTTGGCAGTCTTAATAGAGGACCAAGGGTTAAATGGGGCTGAAGACATTTAATTCCTATACCTGCTCTCTCCAGTTCTTAGTATTGAGACACATTGGCAGGCCAGCATCACGAAACTGTCTCTGCAAATAGCTGACCTATTTAAAATACTTGTATTTTCTGTTAGCTCTGTTTGTTTCTTTTCAGCTCTGTTTGTTTTTCCTAATCAGCCTCTGGTTGGTTGGTTGCTAGGCTGGAAAGACAGCTGGTTAAGGTTAGCATAAGATGAGATGCTGTTTCTACCAACTACATGGAGAGTTTCCAACCATACAACTGAACAAAGATTTTGAATATCTTGAGTCTTCCAAAGCACATAGATTATTTACTTCTCTACCTTTCCGAAAAAGCAAAGCTATCTATGACAAGGATGAATATTTGACCTAATTTGGGATAAGAAACATGCTTTTAAAATGCTGAACTGGGTCACTGTTCTCAATCACAACTTCAGTAGTGTGTAATATTTTTGAAGTAAGAGTTGGGAAAAATTGTTGAAAGAACAAATTCAGATGTAAAACTTGAACTTCAATCTGTCCTCCTGTAGCTTGAAACATTTAAACGTAATTGAGTTTTTTCTCTCTCCTAATTCCAGTGTGCCTCCTGTAGCAGAATGGGCTGTTCCTCAGTCATCAAGACTGAAATATAGGCAGCTGTTCAATAGCCATGACAAAATGATGAGTGGACACTTAACAGGTATTAGAACAATTTTTATATTTTTTTATTTTTTACTTCCATTTGATTGATTTTTTGACAATTATATGTCTGTTCATCTGGTGCTTAAATTATGGAAGGCGAGTGACAGCTGAGTTCCCATAGTGAAATGCGAGGGAAAAAATGCTTATTTTCTATATTGTTTTCCATCCGCACTTTGATTACAATTGAGAGCAAACATATGATCATTTGTGAGCGATTGCTACTTAGGGCTTGTCTACACAGGGAAGTTAGGGTGTGAATTTATGGCACGCTAGCTACTCTGCACTAACTCCCCAAGTGGACCCTCTGACTGCATTAAAAGAGCCTGCATGAGAACACATTTAGTGTGCAGTCAGAGGCTCTTAGTAAAATGGGCGAGGGTTGGGGAAGGGAGTTCCAAAGCCACCTAATGCCCCTGGTACAGGATTATGAGAGGTACTGGGCACCTGCAAATTCCATTAACTTCTTGCTAACTTTTTTCCTCTCCTCACTCCTGCTTTCACACTGATTTATTGTAAAGGTGGTCCCTTCTAGCCTTAAACTCTAACTCTGACTCTGAGATCCACGCCCCAGAACTTACTTCATTTTCTTTTTGAAACTTATCCTGCTGGTGTAGTTGGACAGGGCTCCTGATCCCCATTGACCACCCAAAAAGAAAAGGCCTTTGACAATTGTGGGATTCTTCTTGTCCCCCTTACTCCTTGTTGACAACCTACCAAGCGGGTGAAGAGGCCTGTTGGGTGAAAGTGCTGAGAAGTGATTAACACTTTCACCTGGCTGGCAGCCTCATCACCTGGCTGGTAGGCTGTCAACAAGGAGCTTTCTCTTCAGACCACACACACAGTTGCCTCTGCCCAAGAGAGAACCCACCCCAAATGAGGGGAGGCACTGAGCATGTACAGGAATCCTCCCTCACCCCTATGTCATCCCAAGAGCTTATTGTGAGGTATGAAATTGGTTGTGGCAAACTGTGACTCATGCGAAGGACATGGGTGGCTGGATCAAGCTTTGTGTGCCCCTTTCATGAGGGACATTTTCCCCATCATGATAGAAAACTGCCTGTGCAGTGGGAAAGGGTACATCAAATGTGGGTTTACTAACCCGAGCAGCATTCCGTAATCTTAGATATTCTTTTAAAATAACTTCCCTCTTGTACACCGTGACAATTTGTTCTGAGTAGTAGTAGTATGTTCAGCTTTAACACATAGGGACTGATATTTTCCAGGTCAGCCCCTCAAAACTGAGTTCTGCTCCGGAATAATGTTTACTGATTTTTTGTTTTTGTTTGTTTCTTAACCCTTGTTCTAATTTGTTAGGTCCACAAGCAAGAACTATCCTTATGCAATCAAGTTTACCACAGGCTCAGTTGGCTACGATATGGTAAAGATAGTTCCTTTAATTTTTCTCAAATCAGAAAAGTACTTATCACTCTGGATTATACCCTTTCTGCTAACTTGTTAAATTTTTCTGTCTTTTTCTTTACACAAGATATACACTAAAAACTGCATACTTGTACACATTAACATTACTATTTAATAATGCAAAAAGAACAGGAGTACTTGTGGCACCTTAGAGACTAACAAATTTATTTGAGCATAAGCTTTTGTGGGCTACAGCCCACTTCTTCGGATGCATAGAATGGAACATATATTGAGGAGATAGATATACACATACAGAGAGCATGAAAAGGTGGGAGTTGTCTTACCAACTCTGAGAGGCCAATTAAGTAAGAGGGGAAAAAAAACTTTTGAAGTGATAATCAAGATAGGCAACTCCCACCTTTTCATGCTTTCTGTATGTGTATATGTATCTCCTCAATATATGTTCCATTCTATGCATCCGAAGAAGTGGGCTGTAGCCCACGAAAGCTTATGCTCAAATACATTTGTTAGCCTTTAAGGTGCCACAAGTACTCGTGTTCTTTTTGCAGATACAGACTAACACGGCTGCTACTCTGAAACCTATTTAATAATGGGCATTATCAGAGGAATTAGATTAGTTGCCATGGCATTTTTCTAATGTCCGCTAATTCTTATAAAATGTAAAAAATGGTTCATAAAAGGAACTCTTCACGTTTATTTTACATTAGATACCTATAGTATTCCTCACCTTCTGTATGAGTTGAAAACATACCTGGCATTTTTACTTGGTTTTGTTTTTTAGTTGTTCCTAAAAAAGCCACTTCGTTTCTCTTACCTGTAGTGAAATTATACCCTGGTACGTAATACAAAAAAGCATTTTTTTTAAATGTGTAATAAAGAAAACCGTAGCCTGTAAAATTGCCCTTTATCACTAGTTGTGTCCTGGCAGAAGCATTAACTCATTGAGTTTCTCCTCTTTGATGTGCTTTAAAGGAGTGTCTTTTGTTTTTTTCCTTAGCATTCTTATCTGCCAAAGTAGATTGCCTTCTATTAACATAACCAACCAGGTCCCTCATTTCTCCTTCAGCCTGAGTAAACTCTTGTACCTTGCTTTGTAACTGCATAGTGGCTTTAGTATGTATGTATGTATGTATTTATTTAATTTGCCTTTTTACTACTCTCCTGGTATTTTGGTTCCTGATTGTTCAGGGTCACCTTCTGTGATGTTTGAAATGGCCTCCATGCCACTTTTGTGTATTTTAACTGATGGATTGTTCTCTGCTGGCTATTTTTAATTAACTTCCTCTCTTCTTAAATCTCTGCTTGACATTCAGTGTCTCACTACAGTACTACCACATGATTTCCCCTGTGCTAGGATGTCAACTATATTGTCACTGTTGCATAGTGGCTCTGCCATACTTGCTTTCTAAGCCAAACCCTACCTACAGTAGCCTCTTCTCTTTTGTTTCCTAACAAAGTTGCTATAAGAAGCAATGGCAACCCAATAATCCAGAAGATCACTAGCTGTGACTGGGGTCCCAGTGAGGGCCAGCGGAGGTCACTCAATTAGGGTGAACTGCAAAGAATGGGGTAGATAATCCCTGAAGCTGGTGAATATTTTCAATACTTAGATTTACCAAGCCAGCATAAAACAGCTTCTTTATTACTTCACTGGTTGCCCAGAAACCAACACCACAGTTCCCTTGAAGTAACGCAGCCTCAGGTCTCAATCCAGGTACCCAAGTCAAATATGATGAAGATTTCTGAAAAATCTTATTTCATCATATAAAAGAAAAGGTTCTACCAATTCCAAAGGATCGGACACATTACCTCCCAAGTTATTGAATATTCCAGATCTTACCCAAATACATGCTTACAACCAATTCTTATTAATTAAACTAAAATTTATTAGAAAAGAGAGAGAATACAGTTAAAAGATCAATATACATATAGACATGAGTTCAATTCTTGAGGTTCAGATACATAGCAGAGATGGTGAGCTTTGTAGTTGCAAAGAGTTCTTTTAGAATTTTAGTCCATAGGTTATAGTCCAATGTCCAATATCACATTCAGGGAGTAGCAGCTTAACTGGGATCTCAATCTGGCAACTCAAACTTCCCCTGATGAAGCTTAAGCAGATCTGAGATGTCAGGATCAGGACCCAGTGGTCTTTTATACAGTTTCGCTTGACCATACAATTCTGGGTAAACAATAGGCTTTTGATGTAACCTCCTGTTTCCTAAGCACCAGCAGTAATTAGTTACACAAATTAACATAGGGCAATTTATCCATTAGGCAGTCTATTACAAACTTCAAAGAGACATATAGACAATGACATTCTTTCACCCAAGATTCATCTAAATGTTAATATTCCCCTTTTGACCTCTGAATTAATAGTTATAGTGACAGACAGGAACTGTCTGTTTACATGACTATTATCTAAAATACACACAATTAGTATCACCTCTAATTCTTTAACAATACAGGTTTGTATTTCAAAGTTCTAGCCTATCTAGCCTTGAATGGCCTTAATTACCATTTTTAACATGTCTCTACAGGCTGACCCTGGGTTAGTTAGCCTGCAAGATGCTTAACCCTTTCCGGCCATGTGTTACACTCATTATAAGATTCATTGCAAGTATATAACAGTGGTAGCAACAGTGGTTGGCATAATTATACACCTCTGCCCCGATATAACGTGACCCGATATAACACGAATTCGGATATAATGCGGTAAAGCAGCGCTCCGGGGGGGGCGGGGCTGCACACTCCGATGGATCAAAGCAAGTTCAATATAATGCGGTTTCATCTATAATGCGGTAAGATTTTTTTGGCTCCCGAGGACAGCGTTATATTGGGGTAGAGGTGTACTTTAATCAGACAACGTCACACTAGCCAAAGATGTAATACTTGCTGCCAGGGCTTGAAGTGTGTGGATGGCTGGGGGTGGATGGAGGGGAACAGTTGACACATTTGAGAAGTTGCAAACATAACTTGTAGTTCTTCTTTGAGTGATGTCTCTATGGGTGCTCCACTGTAGGTGCGGCCGTGCCCCCTGCGCCTTGGATCAGAGATCTTCATCAGCAGTGCCCGTCAGACTACACATGTGCATCTCCCCATCTCGCGCCATGAATGGGATGTGTATATATAGCGTTGTACGGTCTGACTGCCCCCCAGTTAGCTCTCTACTCCCTTTGGTCTGGGACAGAATCTGCAGCAAAGCCTGCTTCTCCTTTTGATCTCTGAGATAGTGCCTTACCTGTTAGTTTTAGTATAGTTTAGTAGGTAGTTCTTCCTTTCTCATCCTCTCCCTATTAAAAAATAAATAAATATTTTTTTTGTCCTCTTATTCTCCCATAGCTTACCCTTCATAGCTCTTACCCTTCAGAGCTTAGGTTTACCTTTTGCCGCTTCCCGCCATTCCCGACTGAGAAGCTTTTCTCATCACCCTTATCTCTAGATCTCCTGGGTTTAAGAGGTGCGTTTCCTGCTGGGACACCTTCCTGGTAACTGATGGTCACCCACAGTGTATTTGCTGCGTGGGACAGGGACACATACCAAAAAAGTGTACTCATTGCCATAACTGACTGCCAGGGCTAGAAAATGTAGGACATTCGGCTGCGACTTCTCCTCATGGAGAAATCATTGCATCCAGCATCAGACCCTGGCCTGGACGTTTCACCCGTGCAGCTCTAATGCTCCACTTGGTTGTCCACTGACCCTCATTTGCCCTGTCCTTCTAAAAGAAAATCTTCTCTTTCCCACACATGGGAAGAAACAGGCTCCCCCATGATCTTCTGAGGCACCACCCGCCAGAACGTCATCCCCTGCAAGGTCAGTTCCCTCACATCCTCGGAGAGGGGACGTAGCTCCACGGACCGTCCAAGTACCTCCAGAGCTAAGTAAGTAAGTACCGGAGCTAAGCAAAGGTCTAAAGACCCCAAGAGGGCAGACCTACAGCCGTTGGCACCATCTCTTGGTACTGGTACCAACTGCCCTAACCAGACCAACTTTGGGCACCATAGCACGGACAAAACCACCAGCGCCGAGGTCCATTTTAGCACTGAGCAAGTCTTCAACTCCATCTGGTGTCTGGTCAAGAGAATGCACCTCTCCCTCAGGCACTGACCCATGCACTGGTGTTGATGCTGCTCCTCCCCAGGAGTTCAGAAACCCCAAGGACCTGCTTGTATCTTATCTTCTTGAGTCACCACTACTCAGACACAATCTCCCTCCACTTCCATCCTCCTCTCCAGAATCACAGCATTGTTCCCTTTCCCCTCCGAGGATGGCACCGCCCTTCCCCAGCATTGCAGAGGAGGAGGAGTACTTTGTCCCACTCTCATACTTGGGACAGGCACAAGATGCGTCTTCTACATGTCTTCACTATCCACAACCGGACCAAGCCCTGCTATGGACCGCAATGGATTTAACCCCACATTCCACTCCCTCCATATTGGCCATACAGGATCCTTGGGACATAGACAGGGCACAGTTCGGAAAGCCTCCCATAGAGCAAAGCCAGAGGCCTACACATTCACCATCTCCATCGGTCTCTTGACCACGAGACTGAACCTCTCCCCATAGCAGACAAGGAGGAAGACCAAGAGGAGGAAGTTTCACCACCACTCCACTTCTCCTCTTCTTCCCCCGATGAGGCTATCATGCCTCCACCCCCTACTGCAGCAAATGACTTTAAAAGCTTTCAGGAGTTGTTTCGCAGGATTGCAGACTCCCTCTAGATTCCTTTGGAGGCAGTGAAAGAACAGCAGCATAAACTCCTTGACATCCTGCGTGCATCCTCATCCTCCAAAGTAGACCTTCCTGTCAGTGAGGCCCTTCTCGACCCCACCAAGGTGCTTTGCAGACCCCAGTGTCTATCCCACCAACCTGCAAGTGGGCAGACAAAAAATATTACATTCTTGCAAATGACATGGAATCTCTTTTCTCACTCCATTCCAAATTCCTTCGTTGTCAACGCCGTACACAAAAAGGGATGCCAATACCAACCTCAATCCA